TGTAACACACTGACCTCAAATTCATCTGTAAATATAACAAATGAGTTGAGTGTGTAGTACCAGAGTAGAGCTGATGAGGCCGGGGTTTGAACCCACATCCCGTGTAAATCCTGTGCTATTTCTCCAGAGTGAATGGAGATCAAAATCAGATCAGATCAGCTAAAGCTATGCTCAAATATGGAGTGCAATGTGCAACAACAAACACTTTAATGGAAATCTACCAGTAAAGAGTAAGTTTAAATTAGATTAAGTATAATCTTAAAAAAATAACAATAATTCAAAAATCATATACTGTATATTTGTGGGATTGTATTGTCTGGATTGTAAAATAAAACTATCTGATATTTTAATTTTTGAAAAAAGCTATAAATATGCTAACCTTCAAAAACTCCTAAAGTGTATAGTTGGTTGATCTGACTGTAGATGTAACTTAGTGAGGAAAACTTTATATCATTCATATTACACAAGATTAAACAAATATCTTCTGATGATTGTCGAATTAAAGTAAACATTCCCAAATTGCATTTCTAATTGAATTTAACAAAAGTCAGGCCACTTTATTTTTTTAGGGGTTTTCATTAAATACAACATTTGAAAACAGCACAAATAATCTAGTACACGTGTCTCAAACTCCAGTCGTTGAGGGACAGTGTCCTGTAGATTTTAGATATGCGTCTTTTTCAACACAGCTAAGTCAAATAATCAGGTTTTTAGTATGACTCTGGAAAACTTAAGTGAATCCTTGATTGGGCAAATTTTAGTTCAGAGCTAATGTTCTTTCACCTTCTATAGGGTCAGCGGTAAAGCTCAACTGTGGGTAGCTTTGGAACTCCAAGCATCTGCGCTGACTCTGGACAGCCATAGCCTTTCCAGAAATCATTACGAATACAAAGCCACATGCATAACACAAGTCAAAACAGGGACTACATCCTCCTGAAAAATAACTACAAAAAATGTACTGTAAGCTACAAAAATGTAGTGAATGTCTGAAACTCTCCATTATAAAACCCAAAACATGAAGGTGTTTATTAACAACTTGGCCACATGGCAACAATTAACACCTTGATAAAATGTATTACTACAAATAATAACTAGAAATAATATCTGCTCTGAGTTTATCACATCTCTGGAATGTCATGCAAATCTCTCAGACCGGGCATACACTGCACGATATTTTCAATCATTGTAGCCTACTCAACTACAGCTCAAACTGTACAATGAAACAGGGTTTAAAAGGTCACAGCTCATGATGTATGTCTTTATACTGTATGGTCCGACGGTCTGATGTGACTGTTCAGACTAACTGTCGAGAGATGTCACAGGTCGGACTCATCAATCACGATGAAGAACTCCCTTGTTTGCAAATGCCCAGTGCGCGAGGTTCTGGTAAATCTGCTTGTAGATGCTAGTGCCTCTTGCTACAACAGCTAGATTTGCCTAAGAACACCTCACAAGGGCCGACTGAATTTCTAAAATGTGTGTTTTTCTCCCGAACTTACGATTCCTGATCGGGAGGTGGTTGTGAGAGGCTAATCACCCCTAGTTACCCCCTGTATACTACATGACGAAGTACGCACCATGAGGCTGAAACTCGGCCTTATCGAAAATATTCTTGCATGACTAAAGAATTGGCCCGCAAAAGGCAAAAACTCTTACAGTGTATGCTAGGCTTAAAACAGTGTTGTCTAAACTCTATCCTAAGGGCTGTTGTGTCTCATGTTGAAATTGCATTTCAAGAAAGAAAAACAGCAGCAGCAGATTACAAAGCTAAGCTGAGTCAAAGGGAACAAGTAACTAGGAGCATCCTCGAAATGTACAGTAGTGGAATACAAAGTGGAAAGTACAATGACTTTAAAAAGTTGAAGATTGAAAGACATACCACCCCCCAAAAAAAAATACTAAAAACAAAAAGTACTTAAGTACAGTAATCAAGTAAAGGTACTTTCTTACTTTCTTTGTCTAATCCTAATTATCCCAAGAAGTGAGTCCATTAACCTTGCAGAGAGAAACCAATAGCACTACCTACCATTTGGAAACATGGGGTTAGGGATAAAGAGTGAGGAGTAATAGGTAAAAAGGGCACTTATATTCAGTCATTAGTTACATTCTTTACACTGATATAGTTTACATCTGGAGCAACCCTGCAGGTAAACAGAGAATCATTGGTTTAACTCTTCATTACTATAAAACCACTAAAGAAGGTTGATCATCTACTTTACACTAAACCTCAACCTGTAGAAAACATTAAATCCCATCTCATTTCTGAGACCAAAAATAGCTCAATGAAAAAATGAAAAATTGTTCTATTTTGGAATGCATGAAGCTGATGACAGACAGAAACATATGAATCAGTAACTGTGCAGCAGATGGCAGGAGTTATGGTATAAGATGGCAAGTAGCTCTATATGGGGAGACCTGAAGATTAAACCAAGTTTCCATGTCAACTCTCTCCCGGTTTTTGATTTAACAAGTTAATTAATAAAAACATCCAAATTCTGCAGGTTGCAAAAATTCAGGTTACAGCTCAGGGGTCTCATTTATAAAGCTTGAAAAAATGTGGCCTAAAACTTTCATACCACAATTTCCATGAAAATGTTCTGACCTGTAAAAAGCAATCTTACCATGAAAAAGATATTCCAACTCCTGTGTCTGACACTCGAAGCATATCAAAACTCGAAAGCTGTAACATTCCAGGCCTTATGCTCGAACTGCTTTAAAATGCGCCCTGCCAGACTTTGCACGTATACTGTATGCCTCTGATGGTCAAAATACGTTCAGTCTGAATGCAACATAAGTAGTTGTACACAGATGTGAATGTAAAAAGTTGCGAGGCATCTCATAGTGACTGCTGTAAATACATTTGTAACACCCCTGTGAAATGTGAGATGAATGCACTGAAGAATGTTGAAAATTAGAGGTTTTCAAGGATCACCAAGGTATTCTGGTCCATGTTTATGACTGACTAGTCAAAACAAATTTTCAAAAAATTATTTTCACGCAATGTGTGATTTTTATTGCACTAACCACAAGCCTTTAGATATTTCACTCCAGGGTTTCATGACTTTGAAAGCTTTATAGGCCATCTGCATGGATCTGCATGCTAGCTGCTACTCTCTCTTCACTTCGGCATGGCAGCAAACCCACTAAGTATTTTACCACCACCTAAAGGGCTGGAAGGAGAAATTCAGTAATATGACAAAAATTGAGCACCTCTGCGATTCCAAAATTGTATTTTGCCAAATTGTGATCATATTGCAAATACAATGAATTGCCCAGCCTTACTTTTAAGTGGATTAAACCCCCTAGAGAATTGATTTGTATCTATGTCCTGAGTGGGATTCAGCATAGGACATTAAACTGCTTAACCAAGGCCATCCCTGCTTATTACAGATTCTAGACATAAGGAGGTCATTGTGCGCTGTGCCTAGAAAAAAATGAAAGGGTAGTTGGATCCAGGGTTCTAAAGAAATACAATTAAATTTGGGTAGCCGTTCATGAATCCTGCCTGTTTGCTCTGTTTTGGGGGCTGACTGTTAGCCTCTCCCTGCTCTGTTCTGCTATGCTAAGTGAGCGGATGGACCTACCACTCTTCCAATTACTCTCATTACTCCCAGCTGTTACTCAGCCTACTTATCCCTGCCTCTCAGTTATTTCCTGACAGATCATTGCCTCCTTGTTTATAGGAATATCTTTGGAAATGTTGACTTTCACTAGTGACCTTCCCTGTGGTCATGTGCTTGGCTTCCCTTCAATGGATTCTCCTCAGTTTCTGAATCTGGTCACATTCTGGACTGTTTCTGCCTGCCACCAGTTTATTCAGCCTGCATCGATCCTGCTAAAAGCCTGATCCCATGCTGTTCAGTCATTGTGTGCCTTTTAAGGTCTGCAATCAGTCAAATAGCCTGGAACTGGCTGACTCTGCCCTCATCTGCCTCCTTAAAGGCTGATTTATACTCAGAAACCAGGTTGTCTGCACGTGTGTCGCAGTGAATGCAAATGTGCCTCCGTCCATGCCGCAGACACTCTGCTGCACCTCTCCAAAACTCAAGGTGACCGCAGACAGTGCCGCAGACAGAGGCCTTTGATTGGTCAAATCTACATCGACACTAAACTATCCATATTTCCTGTACCTTACCGGCTTGTTTTGTTTGTATGACCGCTATAGTGGAAAACGACTCATGAAGTTGGACCAGCTAGAAGAGCGAGGTGCGCAAGAACGCTGTGACTCTTTTTACACCTAGATCCCCGCTCTTTTTAGCCCTCATGTCCCTCTGTTGTCGCACAAATTTGCCCCTACTTCCTCACTGCCTCGGCCGTATCTAGACCCACAGCTAGTTCCTGATTGGCCCTCTTGCATTGTGGCATTGAATAACATACAGCAGACCACGCCTCAATATTAAGCATAAATCAAAAATATCTGCATCAGGCTCACTGTGACACACTGCACACGGATGGTTATGCAAAGTATAACTAGCCTTTAAGTCCCCTATTAGTCTCCCTGCCTGCATTCCTGATCATTTCACAAAGATTCAATAAAATATTTGGGAATCTTAGGTTGTCACAAGTCCTCACTTTCCATTGCCAGGGATCATCTAGTAAGAGTAACTGGTAAAATACTAATTAAGTATTAACTCGTTTTATTTGCTATTTAAAATTATGTAAAAAGACAGAGAAAAATGTAAAGTAATGTGTGACTACTAGAATTTTGATGACTTTAAATTTGTGGTTATAACAAAGGAATGGTGTATCTTGAAAAATAAGAGATCCAGAAAGAAGAGACACTTTATCAAGCCTATTTTCTTTAAAACATAAAACTTGTTAAACTGGTATTTCCAGTAACAATAAATAATACGATCTGTTCATAAAACCCCTTTCCCTACGCTCCATCTGAGGAGAGACATGAAAAGGGAAAATAATCTGGTCTATAACAAATTCCAGAGGAATCTTTAGGAGAAGCTTCCATTTCAGGACCAGTTCCATGCTCGTATTTACGCTCTCACCTTCCATGACAAATACCAGTGAGCCCACATCTCCTTCCTTTATGATACAGGAATCCTTCCCATAATCCACTGGGTACATGCAGTCCACGATCTCCTGGATCTGAGAGATTTCCAGGTTTTTCATGAAGTCATTGTCCAAGATGGCTTCCTTTATTAGCTCCTTTGACCTAAAAAGATGAGGAGAGAAGGGAGTTAATACAAAACACCTACAAAGGCATGTCAGGGTAAAATAATTTTATCAACATTTAAAATTTTACTGAAAAGCTATTTGCTTTACCAAACAAGCCTGCAACTATAGCATGCTCCCTAAAATTAAACATGGTAATTTAGTATAGTCATTTTTGAGCTTTTAAAAAATGTAAACTAATTTAAAATTTTAGATAAAATGGAACACATTTTGCATTCAGTCATAAAATGTTACTTAGTCCTGTACAACACTGAAAACGTTTTTCTGTTTCAGTGATCCTGTTGAAAATCAATCCAGATTCACACAGAAATGCCTTCTTTCTGCGTTTAATAAACTCTCCTGTCTGCAGTTATTTTCATTCTTGTATTTGACAGTATGATCATCTGAGGCAGGAAGGCAGCAGACAGCCTTAGCTCTGTCTTTTATCAAATAACTGATGTTATTTTCTGCAGGTTTGATCATCTGTCGTCTCTGAGCTTGTAAAGACTGAAGCTGTGCATCTGATCAATGGCAGCCGGGTGGTGTAGAACAGACAGCCGATTCATTTAAAACATCCTCAAGCTTGGATTGATCTTGGAAACAGTGCTGTGCCTCTGGGCAAAGGAGGAATTATTGAGACCAAACTGATGAGAATCTAACAGTCTGTGAGGAAATGTTCGGATTTCTGTAGCTTGGGATAAAAATCCCTGATAAGAAACTGGTGTCAGTGAAAAGACATCAAACTTAATCTGTTGTTTTCATACAGGTTCAAATTATTAGCAGAATGGATTTCTTCAACATGCTGATGTTTTTTGTTAAATGAAAAAAAATTATAAATTCTGTCAAAATGTTTGCCTGTCAAATGTTTGGTTTGTTGGGTCGACCCGTAAGAGAGGACAGAAACACAGCCAGAATCTCTGTCGTAACAGCTATAAAAGCTCTTCTTTCAAAATAAATTTATTCCCTTTGCATGCAACTCTTCACTGGCACATGCACATCTGGATCTTAACAATGAAAAAACTGCATCTTTTAAAAAATGGGGAATCAAGCACAAGTATGCACTATACCCAAACATAAGACCCACTGCAACAAGCTCCCTGAGCGCTCATAGAAAAAATTCTCAAGAATTTCACGAATTTGAAAACAATGAACGAGTAACTTTTTTTAATTCAACTTTTAATTAGCCAGGATAGTTCCATGGAGAATAAACCTTGTTTTTCAATGGAGTCTTGGCCAAAAGGCAAAAAACATATAACTCACAAAATGCCATAGTTAAAAGAAAAGCAACAAATTATGAAAAACATAATTATGTTTTTAAATCACCCTCTAGAACTTTTAGCTTAGAAGTAAAAACACTCAGTGAGATAAGTTCAGTTAATTTAGAAGTTTTCTGAATTCAGTCCAAACAAAGGGACAGAAATACGCAGTATATAGTATACGAGGCAAACGAGTCAATATTTTGCAGTGTAAAAGCAGAGCAGATATAGGCTGGAGGCAGCAGAAGTAATGCTTTACAAATAAAGTGACAGTATTTCACCATTCCATTAATGTAATTAGGAAAATGTGTTGACATTTCACAGTTCGTAAGGAACCTCGAACAAGAGAGATAGAGTCAGGCATTCTAAGACATCATGAAAAAACAATTATGTGTGGAAGATCTCCATAGTTCAACGCAGGCATAAAAGTTGCACTGCCAAGCTGCTTTTTCACAGCATGAAAAACACAACTTGTTTTTAAAATACAAAACACCCTTTAGGTTCATCTTTTTTACAGGAATTTTTTCTATATGGGGTCAAGAGGACAGGTGCTGACAACAGCTCTCTTGACTGGCCGCAAGTCACTGGCCCATTGGATGTTTAACCCTCCACTGTTCACTGTTAAGGTGGGCAAAGATAATATATTCAAGATGAAGCAGATTTTTATATATATATGTATTATGATTTTATTTTTTTTTGCTTATGGTGCATAGCAATTTAAGTGACAGATTGCCACTCTGGCTTCCTGCGTTCTGCTCAGTGGCAGCCCACTACTCCCAAAGCGGATGGGTTAAATGCAGAGAATTTATTTCGTGCCTCTATACATGTGACAGTTCAATTTGAAAAACTCACATGGAGAGAAAAGAAAATTCGAAGAAATTTATTGATACCATTACTTTAGTCTTTGGTGCTCAGACCTCTGCAGGAAACATAGTTCTGTATTTTGATTGATATGCATGAAGAGTAGTAAAGAATAGGGCTGTTTCCCCCCAGGCCTGAAACTGGTGGTGGACTGGAGATAGATGAAGTTGGTCAGCCTGTAGACTGCTGGTTAGAGAGACGGTCTGCTGAGCTTTATGGAGAGATCCAGTGGACTGCGTGAGCTGATACTAGAGCTTAACTCAGGGACCTGGAAGATGGAAGTCCAGTTGGATAACACAGGTTGAGAGAACCTGTCCATGATGAGCAAGCATTAAGCAACAGTGGAGGGGAAAAACTCCCCATTGCGAAGAAACCTGGCAGAACCAGGCTCAACATGGCAGTCTCCTTCCAGACCGGTTGAAATGAGATGGAGTATGCATTAAGAGTCCGGGAGGAATGAAACTGATAAAGATTTAGCTCTGATGGTGGAGGAGGGGCTGGAGGTGGGTTGAAACAGGGTTATCTGAATGAAGTCAGACACAGCGCCACCACCGCACTAGGTAGCAGATGAGTAGCGGATCAGAGGCCTTTTAAGATGAACTATGGATGCTGACTGGCTTTCGTGGAGGCGTGGTTCAAAGCTTATTAGCTGTGTCATAGGCGGATGAAGGCGAATAATCAGTTTATTCAGTCGAACTTCCTTCTAGCTTCCATTGTAATGACAATAACCTTTTTATTAATTTTTTTATTTTTGTCATTGTTTTTGACTGGTAGAATTTCTTTATTGTTCTTGTATGGGCTTGTTGCATTATAAATTGCTTGTTGCATTTAATCAATGTTTTACCTGTGTCATCATATTTTACTAACTAGTAATACATTTACCCCTAGGCTAGAGTCAACATAAACTTTCTAAACTGTGTCTTTGATATCTAGCAGCAGCTAATGTTAAAAATCTGCTATTGCTTAAATTGAGGCTACCACTACTTTATTTCACAGCTCAATCTGTCCATGCTCTGAGTGACTGTTGCTTTCTGCCTGGACTCATAATGTACTTTGGTACTGAAAGGTTCAGTTGGGATTTGAAGGGTTTGCTAAAAAGTTTACGGATGCTATTTCTTTGTTGTTAACCAAGTCAATAGCTCAGCACATTTTTTGACTTGCCATGTGTGCATCACTGCAAAACAATCTAAAAATTAGAAATTTTTAAACATATTTACGATTAATTAGAGTAGGTTAATAAGATAACCTGCCATTGGAATGAATTATGTTTTTCTCCTTATAAGATAAGTATATATAATGCGTAAAGTAAGAGCCTGCAATTTTTTTCTTATTTTGAATGTACATTTTCTTAGTCCATTGGCAGAGAATCTCAGTTACCTGCTCAATTCAAGAAAAATTTTATATTTTTTAAGACAACATGAATAACTTAGATTTAAACTTGCTGCCAATATTAAAAGAGGTTTTCAGCCACCATTTTAGCAGTCTATCCGTACAATAAATCAGTCGCAATGACAGAAAGAAACACATGAGAAATTGTTCACAATTTTATCTATTTATGATCAAGCCCACACTTTCTGAAATATGGTTTCATTTAAATATTATTTTGCAGTATTTTACCTTATGCCTTATGTAGCTGCCATTGAAGTCAGAATAAATGGATAAATAATAGATTAATAAATATTTAGGTTAAAAATATAGAGTTGAAGAACAAGTGAACCGCAGTTTCCAAAGACAATTTATTGGAGAACAAATACTGTCAACTTTAATTTTCATTATAAGAGGCTATGTATGAAATCTGATCAGTCACATTGGAGTAATGTTGTTTGAGGCAATTTGTTGTCTGTATTTTATTTTGACTTGAACAGTAACGTAAATATTGCTGTGATTACATTCTGTATATTGTTCAAGATGTTTGTTTAAATTGTTAAAATTTGAATAAATATATTTTGGGGGGGGAAATATAGAGTTCATAAATACATACATTTCTAGTGTATTTCATGTATATTGTTTGTTTGATATGGGGGAACTAGTCTTAATTAAGGGGGGAACCAAAAGGTTGCTGCCGCGGGTTGACTGAGTGTTACCTTTGAGGGTCGATACCTGTGGATCAGGCAGACACCTCGCTGATTCCACTGCCTAAGCCACCAGCAATAAGAAAATTGGATAAAGTGCATAGTGCAATAAAGGACTGAATATTCTAATTTTCTCTCAAGGGAAAGCCTCCAATGAGGTATAATTTTGTTTAATTTACTGTTTACTTTATTTGACCGTTAAGATGTAACGCGGAGAATTTCTGTTGAGTTATATATTGTATGGTCGCGTTTTTTCTTTGACGTATTTACGGATAAATGATTAGTTTTGTTTGCATTTCTGTCTATGTTTTAACAGTTCTCATGGCACACTATCATGCTTATTGTGTGATTAAAGCCAGTAACTAAAAGAACGACTTGGTTTCGGGATTTCGACTTGAGAGGGAATTATACCTTACATTGTGAAAAAAGTCATTTGAAAACATCAAATGACTCCCTGAATCTCCTGAAAACAAAACCTGCATCTTAAACATACATATTTACACAAATCATGACATCACTGCAGCCTTTTTTGTTTAATGGATTAAATTTTTTTTTTTATTCCTTTTTGGGTTTAGATTTTCAGTTGACTGATTTTCCTTATTCCCTTCATTTTTAATTAGTACGTTAGTCTAGTTTAAGAATTTGTTGACTCTTTTCATCAAGTTTAAGTCAGCATATTAAAAACAGAATTTGATTATTATTTTGAATAAAAGTTGTTTTTATTCTGTACTGTGTATTTGTGATGGACACTGCTGTTTGGCAAAGCCGGTGCACAAATGCACTACTTCATCTACTCTTCTATATAACGACAC